GGTGGGGACACATGCTTCTGCAGTCTGGACCATCTCCCCACCCCCAAAAAGCCACCCACTCTTTGGGCTGCAGGAAGACCACCACTCTCCTATTGGCACAAAATAAGTGCACACTCATTCTCCAGTTTCTGTTGGCTAAAGCCCTAATCCTGGTTGTGGTGGCAGCTGGGAGCCAACTGGAACTACGCCACCCCCTAGGCCCAGGTCCCAGAGAGATCTTGCAGGTTGTCTAATCAATCAACTACCCTCAGACCCATCCTCCTCTCACCTCCTGTAGTCTACACTCACACAACACGGAATCGGGGGTTTCAGTTAGCAGGGGTTGCTTCTGATGACAGCCCTGGTTAACAATTACTTTAGAATGGATTGCTGTGTGGCAAGTATGCCCTGTGATCAAAATCCAAGGGTGCCCTGCTTCGGGCACTGGGCTGGGCAGCTCCTGGCCGTGGTGGACAAACCTGAGAGGCCGGCGGGGCGCCCAGTGGGGACTCGCTGCAGCCTCCGCCAGGGCAGAGCAGATCACCTAGAAGTTACAGGAAGGTGACACAAAGACCACGTGGGCTTGGCCTCCAGTGCTCTGGCACTGAGCCTGGCATGTCCCGAGCACAGGGTCCCCAAGACACAAGCTGGTGTCAGTGCCAGGCATGCTTTTGCAGGTTTGGCACGTTCCTAGGAGGGTGTGAGGCCAGCACAGGCCAGAAGCTGCTGCAGGCCGGAGGAGGAGAGGGTGCTAACACTCCCTGGAAAGGCAGGAAAGAGGCCGGGCCCAAGGGTTGCGTGCGCTTGGCACCCGCCCAGCGCCCAGCGTGCAGGCGAGGGCCATGAGGCCTTATGGGGCAGTGGAACATTGATTTGACACCTGTTCACTGCTTGGCGCTTTGATCACTTAGCCATGATGAACAGGGAAGGTGTTGGGGAAAAACTGCCAGTCAAAAGAAAATTAATTTTAAAAAGTCACATTATTTCTCTAAGCCTGTGATTTAGTCTAAAGATGATCAAGTGGTAAAAGAGGAAGACAAGAAATAAACACTGAGACCTCCCCTAACGACGCTGGACGCTCTCAAGGGAAGCCCGGGCTGCACGGCTTAACTGCACAGCAGTTTGGGGCACATTTTCAAGAGTGGAGAATCTACCCCCCAAACTGGCATCCATGCCAATCACAGCAATCCCACTACCCTAATCTGCCTGCTCTTTAGGGAGGGAGTGCTACTTTATTGCATCCTTCTGATTAGTTTTCATAGGGAAAAATGAGAAAAGAATGGCCCGGTCGAGGGAGAATATCTGATGGGATGAACTTGCTCACGTGCCCCGTCATCCTCAGCAACTTGTGCTAACTGTGGTCTCTGCACCAGAAACAGGATAGTTGGCAATTAAGAGCTTTACAAATATCAATTAGGCAAAAGATTTCCCCAGAAGAGAATCTGCACAATGTCTGATTAGCCCCCATGGCGGGGAGCCTATTAAAGGAATGTGACAACTCTCGAATCTAGTAGTTAACAAGCTGTTCTGTGCTCAGCAGAGGTGTCGTTTCATTCCTGCTAGAGATTTCATCTCAAAACTAAGGGATAAAAGATATTCCAGCTTTAAGTTTGGGTTTGATCATAATTTATAATACTAAACTAACAGAATTAAGCCTTGTTTCACCAGAATATACAGGGAGAATATTTAGTTTAAATACAATTTACGACAAAGGAACATGTCCATGTTCCTGCCCTGACGGAAGCTGCTGAGACGGGGGACGCTGACGGCAAGACGGACGGCGGGGCGCAGGAGCCCGAGCACGTCCTGAAGTCCCGTCGGCCACACTGGCCGCCTGCCTCTGGGTTCCAGGAGGGTTTCACCATCTGACCCCGGCAGGCCTATGAATGTCAGAGAGGACAGAACCTCAAGGGGACAGTCGTGGGCTGAGGTGTGAAGGTTTGGTCTGAATGCCAATTCCTCACCTCCTCCACCTGGACTGTTCAAAGCCTTCTCTGGTCATAATGACGCCCTTCCCAACCCAAACAGTAACATGCAAACCACCCCTGGGGCTGGTCTTACTGCAGGCAGACAGACTAAAGCATCTGTCCTGAGGTCGTGTAGAAAGTGTCATGAGAGTCTGGTTCAGTGCTGGTGGGGCTGGGGCACTGCATTCGCCTCCATCTGCCCCGAGAGGGAGCAGGCCGGGCTCGGAGTCCCGGCCCCTCCCGCAAGCTCTCTAGGTCTAGGCTCTGTGCCATGGGTTCCCCACAAGCTCTCATGCGGGGGCTATTAGCGGAACATCATTTGTAAAGTGAGGCCTTTTTAGAGATGGTACAGAAATGATGAGCAGTATCACCAGGCTAACCCCCAAGAACGCTTCTAGCTCTGAACACACGCTCCCCAACTGCCCACCCACAAGACTCCCGCTCCTCTCACCCAGAAACCAGGCACGAAGGAACTAAAGGTGACCTGGAGGAAGCAGCCACCGTTCCATTCTAAGGCACGTGAGGTCAAAGTCTCCAGATTAAATGAGCCAGGCTTAGGAAGTAGGTGGCACATGGCTCGAGAGGACAGGCCCCCTGGCCCAGCCCACGGATGTCTGGACCCATCCCTGCCCCAGACCCGCTGTTCACTGTGGCTCGTGCGGGGCAGCTGGCTGTGGACCTTTGTCAGCCTTCGTTTGACCACTGACAGACCACACTGAAGGTGGCACATTTCCCCAGAGGCCACTTAACCTGGTCCCTAATGAGAAAAGCCACCCAGGGCAAAGGATCATGCTGTTTTCACACAACTGGGAAAAAGACTAAGGAAATTCAGGGCACAGCAGTGAAGGCTCCTTTGAGATCATGCCCGGAAAGAAAAGCACCTGCCATCACCTGGAGGCCGCTCACTCCGCCTGGCTCTGCTGTCTTCTGCCCGGTGCGGGGCAGGAGGCAGGCCCTGCTCATGTCCTCCTACAGCCCTTCCAGCCGGAGGCACTTGAGTTGCTCACGTTGGCCCTCACCTGAAATGGGGAAGCTGGTTTGGAAGCCATGGACACTAGAAGGGGCAGGGAGAACCGAGTGCCTCTAGGTGTTAGATGTCCGTCCCTCTCCAGAGACCCACAGATTCAGAATCCACTATTTATTTTGACCAGGGAGCCACGTATGGAGGCATAGCCATATTTGTTTCAAGATACTAACTAGTTTTTTATTGTTGTTTTTTAAAGAGACAGGGTTGCTCTGTCACCCAGGCTGGAGTGTGGTGGCATGATCATAGCTCATTGTAACCTTGAACTCCTGGGCTCAAGCGATCCCACCTTGGCCTCCCAAGTAGCTTGGACTACAGGCGTCTGTTACCACACCAGCCTTTTTTAAATTATTATTTTTTGGTAGAGATGGGGTCTCACTGTGTTGTTCAGGCTGGTCTCAAACTCTTGGGCTCAAATGATCCTCCCACCTTGGCCTCCCAAGGTGCTGGGATTACAGGCATGAGCCAGGGCGCCCAGCCAGTTATTTTTTTTTTTTTTTGAGACAGAGTCTCGCTTGTTGCCCAGTCTAGAGTGAGTGCCGTGGCGTCAGCCTAGATCACAGCAACCTCAAACTCCTGGGCTCAAGCAATCCTGCTGCCTCAGCCTCCCGAGTAGCTGGGACTACAGGCATGCACCACCATGCCCGGCTAATTTTTATATATATATATTAGTTGGCCAATTAATTTCTTTCTATTTATAGTAGAGACGGGGTCTTGCTCTTGCTCAGGCTGGTTTCGAACTCCTGACCTTGAGCAATCCGCCCGCCTCAGCCTCCCAAAGTGCTAGGATTACAGGCGTGAGCCACCGCGCCCGGCTCCAGCCAGTTATTTTTAAGAGATCAAAATGTTATGGTGTTCTTAAAACAAACAAAAAAACCCCTTGCTGTCAACCCAGTAGTCTTTAGGGCTCAAAATCTATTTGGTGCTAAGGAAAAAAACCCTTGCACTGCTCTTGTGACAGCAGGTCTGAGGAAGTCACTTTGAGAGCAGCAGATCTGAGAATCTCTTCTGCTTTGGGCAGCCTGAAGTCAAGACAAAAATGCAGACACTTCAGCACTGGCGGCTCTGCCCACCCGACACTCCAGAGGACAGCACACAGTAGGGAAGCTTCTGGAGTCCACCCCCTGGAAAACACTGGGAGGCAGAGCACAGGGCTCGGCAGGCTGCCCAACTGGAGGGGACACAGCCAGAGTGGGACCTGGATGTCTCATGAAACAGCAGGGAAGTGACAGTTAAGTGGGAGCACCCTGATAAAGGGCTCTGTCTCGGGGCACCTCACCCTTACCTCCCACCAGCTCGGGCAGGGACCTGCGGACCTGGGCCTGTAATTCTTGCCTTGAAGCATTGGAGGATGCAGGTGAGGGTGCCGCTCAGATCAGCTACACGTGTCGAGCGTGAAGGACGGTTCAGAGCAGAATGATGTAAATCTCGGGTTCTTCCCACCCCAGAGGGAACGTCTCCCGCCGCCCTGCGTATGAAGGTCTCCGCACTGGAGCCTGCAGACCTGGGATCTAAGGCAGGACAACCTCAACACAAGGCCTCCAGCAAACTGTTCAAGATCAAGAGTAGGAAAACAACAAATCTACCCAGGAAAAGAGCTCCTATAGAAAGAAGCCTGCCAGCTGCCTTCTCCACTCTCCTAGCTGCTGGCCGAGTGGCTGGGGACTGCCGGATGCCCCACATCCTAGACAGAGTCTGTACTAACCAAAGCCAGCTCGCAGCCCAGGACAACTTCAGAATGTCAGCAGAAGCCTTTACACAGCTAGTCTGCAAAGTCAATCGAGTCCTCCCCCCCAGACTGGATTCAGCATAGATGAGGATCACATAAAACAGCAGCTCTGATGCTCAGAACAAACATTTCATTTAGTTACCTTCTAATTATGAGAAACTCAGAATCAGTAATAAGAGGTAGCAATTCCTGTAGCTACTTGTTCTATAAACATTAACAAGCATTTAAAAGCTTTTCTTTTTTGGTTCACTGAAATTTTTTAAAGCTTAGATGTGAAAACAACTATTGAAAATTATCTACATTTACAATTCATTCACACGTTTATTTAATGTCAATATACAGAGGACAACCCCAAAGTACTTCAGATTATCAAGTATGTTGTAAGTCTCTTTAGTTGTGACAGTGACAAGGGAACAGCTAAAAAACAAAGCAGTGACACAGAAACATGATTTTCTTAAAATCATAAAGTAACAATACTGATATTAAAGCTTCATTAATTATTGCAACATTTAATTTACCAATATTCATGTTAGGAAGGCTCTTTATCAAATTTATTCAAGTTGTCAAGAAACTGGATGAAAATGTAAAAAATGAAATACATGTGAATTTTACTTTTGATTTTCACTGAAGGTAAATACCCATACAATTTTATACAGTGTCACCTAACGTAACAATCTTTAATAAACATGGGTATACAGAAATCATGAAAATGCAGGAAATGTTTCCTTTACACTTTTAACTGGGACAGCAATTTAACTATGACACAAGTTCATGTAACAGATACAGCAATGAATAAAAACCAACATCAGTGGGACAGTTTCCCTCTACTGGAGGGGCCCGTTCTTATAGTTTTTAACTTGGGATCTGAGTTTCAAAGGTAACAGTTTTTAATACCAGTGCTTTTAAATGGTGAGCCACAGACTTGACTTTGGCCATATCAATGTTTCCTCTCTTTGGGACATCACTGGAGCCAGCATGCTGAGTGCCTTGTCAACCTAAACCAACATGCGACAGTCCCAGCCAATCAGCCCCAGGGCACGCTCTGGAGAAAGGAAGGCCCTCACCCTGTTCCCAGGACAAGAGGCCTATCAACCTTCCCTTTTGTAACCCAGACCAGGCCAGGGGCGACGTCTCCAGGTCACTTATTTGAGCGAGACCTCCACGATGGACACACCCACCGCAATGGTGTGATCAGAAATTCAGAGGCTAGCTGCTCCCCTCGTCACCGGCGCTGGAGGCAGTGCAAGGGGCTCTGACCCCTCGGCCAAGCGCTCACCCGCAGACGCTGCGCTCCGTGAGTCTTTCACCGGAAAATGCACAGGTGAACTCTGCTTCTAGTTCTTCCTCGGACAGCCAGATGCGCCATCTGGTCTTCCCAAGGATTCCTCCTCCAGCCTCCCTGACCCTTTGGCTTTTTCTTCCTCACACTCTGAGCTTGCTCAATAAAAAATAAAACATCTCCCTCTCAGCCAAGAAGTGACAAGGACCTTGTTCTCAGGTGCAGACATGTGATAAGGCAGCTTCACCAACTTCACACAAATCTAATACTTAAAAATTTTTCATATTTAAGATGCACTACAGGAAGTGGGGGAATTGGGGAGAAGTGGCTGCCTGGCTCTCTGCCACCTAGGACTGGGCATGAAGCTAAATGGGGAGGATATGAACCCCCACCTGGGGTGCATGCCCATAACAACTGGTCAGGTTTTTAGGGACCATAGCACTTTGTTTCTCAGAATTTTTGAATGTCTTTGAGACAACAGTCATTGTTATAGCTTTTTTCTGTTCTTCTCCTCCATATTTCCATCTTAAAGCATTTATCCTTAGTCTCAAGCTCAGGGCTCACAGGAGGACACTTCTAAACTGCTAGGAGGTTCCATCAGCACGAAAGAGAAATTAAGATTTTTTACCACTATTAAGTAAATTTAGAGCCCAAAGTTACTAGCTATTTTTAAAGTGTCTGCCTACTCCCTCTTACACATTTGCTTTTAGAAGAAGGCAAGGTTTTCCAAAGTCTCCCTTCTCCAGCCTCTTGGGGGGGCTCTTAATCCCCCTGCCCCTCAACAAGAAGAAAGCCTCAGACAAGGGCGGGGGCTACTGGGGGTGTGTAGAAGCTGCCTCATCAAAGTCACGGCACAGACCTGGCTTCTGGAATTACTGGAAGGTTCAGAAGAGGCAAGTCAGAGCAGGGCACATAGACAGGCTCCCCACCGCCCGGCCTGGCCCCTCTGAGGGCTTCTGACGCCGCACAGGGGCCGAGTTCACCCTCTTGCCAGGGGAGGGCAAGATCCCAGGCCTTCGTCTCTGTGCCCAGGGAACGCCTGGACGGCAGCCTCGTCTTGCCAACTGCTGTGTTTTATTCTAGAGGTTAGGCTAGAAAAGATAATCTTGCTCACGATAACATTTAAAGCTGAAAAACTTTGAAAAATTTCTATGAGGAACCCCAAAGTTTGGTGAGAAAACTACAAAAATGCTCCCCGAATGTCTCAGTGGCTACCGTGGAAGCAACGTGGCACTGCACCGTGCACATCTGAGGTCAGGAGCCCCGAGGCTGCCCTCCTCGGCCCCTGCCCGGGTCTGCAGGAGCCACTGCTCAGAAGCACTTCGGAGGAGGAGCCCCGCCTGCCCCCTCCCGTGCCCGCTTCTCCTCGAGCTGCCAGGCACCTTTAGCTCTGGTCTTGGAGAACACCTTGCATTCTGTCCTCCTGCCTGCACAAGTGCTCTGCCGGCTGTCAAAGAAAGGGGGCAGGTGTCAGAGGGGCAGAGTGGATGTGGAGCAGCACACGTGGGGCTGGCCTGGGCAGGGCTGGGCCGGGTACCAGGCAGCCGAAGGCAGCCCCTCCCAGGGCTCACACCCTGGCCCTGAACCCACAAGGGGAACCTTGGGGAGAAGGCCCCAGACAGGGTACCAGACAGACATTAAGGACATTACACTCCTCAGCAGAAATTAGAAGAAGGTTGTGACCAAGCCCCAAATCCCAAACTGAGGCATTATCATGGTATTTAAAACTGGAGGTAAAAGTGGAGAAAGACACACGCAGGCTTCTATTAGCACATTTCGGAGTTGTTTTTAAAGGAAACAATAATCTCCTCCTCTTGCCTGTCCCACCCCATCCCATCAACAAACCGACTCTTAAGTCACCCTGTTAGTGCACCTCTGCCGTCCCTCCTCCCACCCAGCCGGCGCTGCTGACAGCCTCATTAAAGGCGGGGTGGGGCTGGGGGTCAGAGCGCGCCCAGTCGGCCGTGGTTACATGAGCATACGCACCAAGGCGCCCTGCCAGTGGAGAGTACCTTCCAAGCTGAAAGGTCACCATAAGTTTCACCATCAATGCTACTTACCTGTCATCACTTACTCTCCATTTAGGCCAAATACTAAGACCTGAATTTTGAAACTGCATACTCAATGCCTCAGAAGCATTTGAAACTGAATTTCTAAAACTATGCAGGTGCATAAAATTGCACATGGAGTGTTCATTACTAATCTCTCCACCTGACAGCCTAATTTAGCTTTCAAAGTTGAAACCGTCCACAAGGATGGCTGTCTTTGCTACCTAGATAGTTAACCTTTAGGAACAAAGAACCGTATTTTAAAGGTAAACAGGACATTAACATTTCCCTTGAAGCGCGGCTCAGGGATGTGGACTGTAGACTGGGGTGAGATGCACCTGGGAGGCTGCCATGACCCCTTTTCACAGAAACCACTGCATCAAGGAGCATGATGGGCACAGGGGGGCAGATCTAGCCACATGTTCAGAAGCAGCGAGCAGGCCTGGGGACTGGCCTGGCTTCCTGGGGGTAGGGGTGGCATTACGAGCACAGGGAGCTCTGGTCCATCTGCCAGTCTTTCCACTGCAGTGGAATGAAAGTCACCACCCGGTTTTCACCTTGCTGAATCACATTCACTACTCACACCAGTATAAATTATCATTATCTCTGTATTTAATTGCAAAGGTGTGCAAAACAAAAACAAACCTAAATGCCCCAAATAAGTTAACAAGATAATTACCAACTTAACATAAAATATATAGCTCAAAGAACACTCTCATCCATTGTGAAAGCTAGAATTTGAAATGAAACTCCCTACGCAGCTGTAGGGACCACAGAGTTAGAACCACGTCCTGCAGTTCCCCGTGGAAGCAGCACAGCCTCCTGGCCGCAGAGGAGTCCACACAGCACCACTCCTGCGCGGCCACAGGCCACCAGGGCCCCCGGGGGAGACGCTGGGGTGGGACTGAGGATGAAGCCTGAGCACAAGGCCAGCATCAGCGTCCCAAGAGTAATCTTGGAAACACCACTGCCATCCAAGAACAAGAAAAGGGGAACCTGCACTTGTACCCCCTTCTAGGGGGCACTCTGAAGCCTGGGGGACTCTAACAGTCTAAAGACAACAAAGTCTGCCCGAGGTCTGAAGTCACATGCCTTTCTGACTCCAACCCCCCCACCCCCAAAACCAAAAAAAACTACTTTTCCCTTGTTGGGAGAACACATAAGCAAAGCGCGTCTGACATAAAATATCTTGGCTTATGTGGCAAGAGGCACTTCTGACAACTGCTGTTGGTTGGCGTCCTCAGCCTGCAGTTCACGCGAACTGTCTAGGCTCTGAGTAAGGTGGATGTTTTAGTGCACAGAATCTCAATCAAAGTGCTACAAACTGCTTCTTTGAAAAAAGATGTTTATTAAACAACTTTAATTGTCATAAAATGACTAAAATGGGTTTTAAAAATTAAGGCTCTTCTCTTTCTGTGGATTGCCAGAACAATGTAAAAATAATATCAATCAACTCTGCTAAACGCTTTGTTCCTAAAGTTAAATTTCATAGATTCCTAAACATTTTATGATTAAGGTAAAAAATTGGACTATAAATGACAATTAATGGCCATCTGTACTGAACACACACTCTGATCAGGTGTACAATATTCTAATTGAGTAGTTAAGCAAAAATATTCCAGTTAAAGCATAAATTTTAATTTCAGCATTTTAAAGTCATTGTTTTCCCACACTGTCATGATTTTCCTAAAATTGAAGTAGTCTAATACAGGAACGCTAACCTTGGGACTCTATATACTCCCGGGAGATATGACTGACTTGGCTGGCAATTAGTTTGATTATATTTTTTTAAATGCTCTAAGGTAAATTATCAAATGATTCAGAATTACATGGCATGCAGTATCCAAAATTATGGCTCTGATGCATTTAGATTTACATTAAGTATAAGAAGTGTCATTCACATTCATTGTACACCCCACCCCTCCCACAAGAAAAAAAAATCACTACCTATTCAAGTTCTAGATCTGGTGCAGCATTAAGGATTAAAACTTACCACTTTACCAGGCCTTCCCCATGTGCAAATAAATCCCTCCTGACAAGCAGTGACTATACAGTCTTCAAGAAAAATTAATACAGTCAGTCTTTCATGTGCTATCTTTTTACAGATCAGCGGCTCTAACAAGGGAACGTCTTCCATTCGAGGACACAGGGGTGTTCCCAAAGTTTTAGCTGGGTCCGTTTTGGTTTTAGTAACTAGATTCAGTTTGTCACTGCTCTTGCTAGAAATGTGTCCCATGCTATGGTTTCGCTTGTGATCTTTCTCGTGGTGCCTCTCCTTCCGGTCATGTAGTGAAAGTGTTGCAAATTTGCTGACCCCAGAAGCAATGGCCCCATCCATGACACTGCTTTTGCTGCCAGCATTTGAGACTGCTGAATGTGGAAGGCTGTTGGACCGTGGCAGAGGAGGGGGTACAGAGTTGCCGGGCGTTGTGACACTGTTCCCATTGCTTCCAGCAGGAGGACTCGTGGCATTCATGACATTTGTGTGTGTCCTTGCTCGGGAGAGGGGTTGGTGAGGGAAAAGGATGTCTTCTGTGAGGTCCCATAAACAGAGCTGTGTATCCTGGCCCACTGAACCAAACCGATATGTAACGCTCACAGGGCGGCTGTCTGTAGAGTTCCGTTTGGATAGCCTGGACTGCGTACTGTTTGCTCGATCTCTGCCAAAATGAAGAAGGTCTTGGAAGTCCTCGTCACTGCCACTAAACTCCATAGGGTCGCTTTCTTCTACACTAGTGGTATACGGATCAAATGCCACAACACTGACCCAGGACTTGTGCCCATGGCCTCTGGCTATGACTCGGCAGTCTACAAAGGACCAGACTGTCACCAAGTCGTCCTCGCCACCTGTCACGATGTACTTGCCATCTGGGCTCCAGCACACACACAGCAAGCCCCCAAAGTAGCTTTTCATCGTACCGTGCAGCTCCACCGAGTCAAAGTTGAACACCCGCAGAAACCCGTCCTGGCTCACGCACGCTAAGAACTTGCCATCTGGGGAGAAAGCAAACTCGTTGAGGGCCCCCTCGCCCACCGTCCACTTAAGGAGAGGGTTCCTCGTGGATTTGCTCTTGCAAGTGTGCACGGCAAAGCTCTCTCCCTGCTTCAGAAGCTGGTAGTGGGGGGCTGTGGTGCCACAAGTGTGCTCCACATTATACAAGTACATGCTCCCACTCGAATGGGCTACTAGGAAAAGGCTTTCCGAACCGGGAACCCATTTGACACAGGTTACTCGTGACTTGTCTATTAGTCTCTGTGAAGACAAAGGAGAACAAGTTATCACAATGGAGAAGTTTTACAGGTCTACTTTTCCAGCAAGAAAACTTGTCTGTGTCTCGGTGAGAAGGGAAGAGTCCATCCAGGCACTCCGCACGGTATCCTGGGGTCAGCCAAGCCAGCGAAGCGCACCTTGGCCCCTTGTAGAATTACTTTCTAAAATTGCACTTGGGTGTTAGGCCACTGGCTTTCACTGAGGGAGTCAGTCATTCAACAATGATTGGTTGAGGGCCTACTATGTGCCAGACACTGTACCAGGCGCTTGGGTGAGAGAGACAGCCTGCAGACACTCTTTCTTACGGGAGGAGCATCTGACTCTGCGATTCACTGCATCTATGTGCGGCATCCTCGCTATGAGGACCCGCAGTCCTCACAGCCAGGAAAGCTATGCCTCACCCTCACGGTTTCTCTGCATTTATTGTCACTGTAAAGTCACGTGCTGACTACATCTGCCCTCTGCTTTGGCTGCTCGCAGGTGGGGAGTCCAATCTGCAGCCGACTGCGAGCAGCACACGGGACTCCAGAGCACACTCCTGGGCTCTAGCTCAGCCCTGGTTCACTGGGGCCTTCTTGCGTGTACACACTGTCCTGTGTCTCTCTATGAGCACTTCCTCATGCAAGTCCTCTTTGGAATGAGGTGGTGTTTTAAGAAATAAATTGATGATTAATTCAGGAGTATGTACTTAATCACTATCACTCTACCTCAAGCTAATTCTGGTCCCTTGACCCAATTGTTTCTTTTAACAGGCATATATCACTAGTCTTGCCTTTAAAACCAAACAAAAAGCACAACCAACAAAGGCACAAAACAAGTACCCTTCCTTGCTCGCAAACCCTGCCCTGAGGATCACCAGCACAACAGCCTCCACCACGGTGATCCCTCCCTAGGCTGTCGGAGCTCAAAATCACATCACCAGAAAGCGTCTAGAAGTTCCCAAGACTTCCAAGTTCTGCCCAGAAACTCCCACTGCCAAACCCTCTACGCTGTACCATCAGCCTAGTACCAGTGTCCCCATGAGAGCCCGGCTGCCCCAGGCTGGGTTAAGCGCTACCGCTTCACCAAACAGGTGGGGATTCCCTGGCTTGAGTCTCAGAGGAGCACAGGGAACACGATGCAGACCCT